CCGCCGTCAGCTGCTGCAGGGCGTGGGGAGGGGGAGCGGCGGCCGCGCTCTGCGGGGTTGAGCCGGGGAGAGGTTGCTACAAAGGAGCCAATTCTTCCCCGGCATCGCGAGCAGCTCCAAAATCGTCCCTCGGGGATCACGGACCACTGAGGTTAGCCAGAGCCCGGCTTGGATTTGGCTGAACCAGGGGTGGGAAGGCATCGTGCATCTCCTGCATCCCTCTTTGCCATCCCCCCGATGGGTTTTACGTGCTGCCAGGCTGCGGCTGATGCTCTTTTCCCCCTTCCCCGGTGTGCTCCGCGCATCCCGAGCATCCTGCTGGCGTCGTGCCACCGAACAGCACGCGGTCGATAATAAAATCTGCGCGGCTCAGGGCAGGGGGGAAACTGGTGCCAAATCCAGTCCTGCCTCCCACCTGGATCTCCTCTCCCCCTCCACCGTGGGTTTAAGGTCACGGGTAGATAATTTTTGAGGAACAATGCGTCCCCCTGGCTTTTCCCCAGCGGCAAGCTGTCTGTCACTGGCTCGTGGATAATTTTTCCTTCCTTTCTCTTATTTTTTATTGCTGCAAATTGGGCAATTGCTCTTCTGCTGCTGATCTGTGAGAGCGGGCAAGCGGGTATCGGGAAATCTGTGTTTGAAATGTGTATTTGGGCAGGGGGGGAGGGGAAAGGGCTTGAGGAAGCCGGCGGCCCCGGGAGCGGGTTGTGGGTTATAAAGCGATGCGGGAGGAGGATCCTGGCATTGGGCAGGGTCTCGCGGGCAGGTTTGACGGGCAGCGCTTGGGTTTGGACATCCACGAGCCGGGTTTTGGCTCTTAAAACCACGCCGGGACTTTGCTGCTTTCCCATATCCTGAGGATCAGCTGCGTTAAGTGTCTCCTAGCCCTCGGTGGAGACATGCTGTCCTAAAAAAGCGCTCTGCTTTTTCAGCAAACAGCTAAAAATGGTTGCAAAAAGCCTGGTTTTGGGGTGGCTGTGCCCATCCTGGTGCCTCCCTTTGCTCTGGGCAGCGGGAGGCTGCGGAGGCCAAGCGCTGCTCCCGAAATTCGGTGGGCAGATGGCTTTTCCGTGGCTGACGGCATCCTTGGCTGGAGCTGCCGGCGTTGTGGCGGCGAGGGAGGACGTGCCCGCAGAGGTCCGTCCCCTCCCCAATCCCGGCGCTTCGCTCCCGAGGGA